AGATCCACGTTGATCAGGGATCATGTTTTACATCTAATAAATTTAAAAGCTTTTGTAACGAAGAAGGCATCGAGCTAATGTACTCCCCAGTGAATGATCATCGAGGCACGGGGTCCGTTGAACGGACAATAGGAAGTTTGAAGAATTTTGTCCTAACATATGCGGCAGAAAAAGAACATAAGTCTCTAGAATCTATGGTCGATAAAGCGCTAGGCGCCCTACGATTCTCCAAAAATGCAACCACTAAATTAACACCTTTCGAAGCTCACCACGGCAGGGAGGCCAATACCGTTTTACGAAACCTTACGAAAAAACCAAGTTTGAAAAATTTGAATTGGAAGAACGTCTTAAAACAAAAATGTTTGTGTTTAGACGAAACTGATCCTGAGATGAGTCAAGTTGCATTCCCCCAGCATTCGAATTGGGAGGAGAGGTCTGACCTTACATACGCTCCAGCTTTGCGAAAGGCCCCTATCACGCTGGATAGTGACCAACAAATGGACGCATGTCCAAGGGAGGTATCGGAAGTTGCCCCACAAATCCAAGGGAGTGGAGACACTGGCCCTAACATCCAGGGGAGTGGAAGAGGACGCAACCTATACCAGCGTACTACCAGCAAGACCCTAAATCGGTATAAATTACTAAAATCCAATGTAATCTCTGAATCCGAACATACTTTAAAACTTAAAAACGGATCCGTTCTTAGGAAAGGTGCAGTGGTATCAAAACCGAAACCTGACCTTCCCAAGAAACGGAAGCCGGCTACGCTCAAGGATATGCTAGCGAGCGCAAAGAAAGGGGCAGTCGTGAGCCCGAAATCAAAAAGAGCTAAGACCACGCAGACGGTACCAGTAGCCACCTTCGAGTCCGACAGTTCGGATACTGAAGACTATCAGCCATTAAACATTCCGGTAAGACTACCGGTAGAAATGCTAGCGAGACGCGAAGCAATTACGGCGGGACAAGGCCCAAGCGGCAGTACGACGGTAGTGAAAGGAGGAACGGGAGCTAAAGCCAAACCCAGAGTGACAAGAGCTAAGCGAGGAAAAGGGGGCCAAAGAAAACAAGTGAAGGAAAGCCAGGAACGTCCAGCGTTAGTGGCGCGAGATTGCATTGAAAATAGCAGTCAAGAAGAAGACTTGGAATCAGGCAGTCAAAGTGAAAGCTCGGGAACCAGACGGAGAACTAGAAGGAGAAAGCCAGTAGACAAAATGGGAGGGGTTATGATCGAAACTATCCAGGGGGCGGAACAAACAGGAAAACATCCAGGGGGAGAAGGAAAATGAATCTTATTCTACATTTATTCAAAAACTCGTTAACCCAGGGAGAGGGATAGCCATAAGCCTAAAACTCAAGTTTGTTAAAACTCAAGTGTTTGTTGTATTATAGTTGAGGCGGCAGGTTGAAGGTGTAGTTATTATATTTAAATTTAAATTACTATGTATTTAAATTTTACATCCATACGGAAATGTCAGGGGCTACAATATGTTCAGTTGTCAATCATCCTAGTTGTCAATCATCCTAGTTGCTATTCTTTATTTCTCATACTTTAATTAAGTGTGAGTTTGGTACCTGCCTGTCAATCAACTAAAAGCTGTCTAGCTGTTATGTGTTGACCTCTAGTTCACTCTCTTATTTATGCGAACTAGAATACAGTCAATTGAGTATTTAACAGCCATCTTTTTACAAACCCTTGTTATGGCGCAGCCAGTGGATGGTGGGGGGAAAAACCCCCTTGGAATTGTGGCCTTCTGGCCTCCAACTCAGGCGGAACCGCAACTTTTATGGGAACACTGGAAACAACGATTTCATTGGGCGATGGTGGCGAAACATGGACTAGTCTCGTCAGACTACTACTTTGCATCGACATTAACTGAAGCACAGATCGCAGACCTGGGTGACATTGGTGGAAGACCACGGGCAGAAGGTGAACTTACATTGATATCGAATCTGTATTTATGCCTGGGACATGAGGGACAGAGAGCCTTGCATAACCAGCATCCACATTTAGATATGGAAACAATACGATACCCACGTTTTTTGGATATCTGTGTAGCTCTTTTTCAGAAAGAGCGGAACGAAACGTACGAGATGTACCAAATGTTGTCGAGGAAACAAAAGGAGGGTGAGAGTCTAGAATCGTTCTATGCAGAACTTAGCGGAATGGCGGCAAGATGCAAATTGGGCACCCAGGAGCGGAAAATGGTGAGAGACATATTTATTTTCAACATGAGGATTAGGGACGCACAGAACGAGCTGTGTCGGGAAACTAAAACCCCGGAAGAAGCATTGCGAATCGCAATGTCATATGAAAGAGGAGACAAGTACGCAAGGAGCTACAAGGGCGCCGTATCCGGTTTCACGGGAATGGCGCATCCATCGCCAGGGGGTTCCCTACAGATCAAAACGGAACCAGTCAGCAATATTCGCGGATCCAGGGGACGAGGAATGCCAAGGGGACGGGGTCAATATCCAAATCGTGGAGGAGGTCGAACACACGATCGAGTGCAAGAGCGCAGATGTTACAACTGCGATCAACCGAACTTCACCCCAGAACACCGACAACGATGCCCAGCAAGAGCCGTCACATGCAAGAGCCGTCAAATTCGAGAAGTTATGGGTTTGTATAGATTGTTAATAAGACCAATTGGTATAATTTTTGCGCAAATATTTTGTGCTATTAACGCGTAAGCGGAGAACTAATCCATCTTAGAATTCGTACCCAACTGAATTGAGGCATGCTATTTTGTCTATAAACAAAAACTCCAAAACTTTTCATTTTTTTTGCAATATTCTTTAGTTTATTTGAAACAAACACTCTTCACCAGAGATTTTAAAAAGCGTTTAGAACTTATAAGATTTAGTCTTGATACGAGAAGTCTTGTTTGTATTAATTCTACTTCAGCAATGAGAAGCTTTTCAGATACCTGAGAGACCCTGGATGATCTAACAAAATTTTCGCCTCAAAATATGGTTGATATGGAGGAAAATTGTCCTGCTAATCCATTGTTTTTCTGGACCCACAGCCGTATCAACTACCAAGTGAATTTTTTTTCGACTAGTAAGAAAGTAATTAACTAAAAACGTGCTGCATAAAGGGCTGGATTCAATAAAGACTTGCTTATTTTCGTGCATAGGTTTTTTCATCGCGCTCATGAGTTTATGCCAAAAGTAGCTTACCCATAGAGTAATTTCAGGTAAGGTACACCGTCTGTTTGTCACGCTATTTTCGGCCGAATAGATTCGTGCAACTTCTTAGTCTAATGCCAATCTTAATCTTACTCCTATATCTCCTAGTCTCAATAGATCTAGTGTATACTGGTATTTGCGAGTTAGTTTTATGAAAATTGTTCCAAAGGAGAACAACTGTCTTCTAAGATTAATTCAAATTGTTCTGGTGCTGAAACTACAATAAGTTTCAGCACTACAAATAATTGTCAGTGTTAGTTATGGATCAAGATTGATTAGTAAGAAATTCTTTATAGATCTAGTGTATACTGGTATTTGCGAGTTAGGTTTATGAAAATTGTTCCAAAGGAGAACAACTGTCTTCTAAGATTAATTCAAATTGTTCTGGTGCTGAAACTACAATAAGTTTCAGCACTACAAATAAGTGTCAATGTTAGTTATGGATCATGATTGATTAGTAAGAAATTCTTTATAGAGATAGTTCTATCAAGAAGATATCTTTTTATAAATACTAGTTTTAAACTAGTTCCACCCGGGGCTTAGAAAGTTTTTAGTTTTCAAATTTTTTGTTGTATTGAAGGATGGATGGAAAGATTTCTGTTCTTGGGAGTAGCTTTCTTTTGAGCGGTTGGAGCAGTGACTGCGTGAAGGAAGGAGAGATGTAGTTGTTTTCGTAGAGAGAAGAAGGGCAGTTGTTTGTCTTCCAAAAGTGGGTCTCGTTTTACCGTGGGTGGTCTTTGAGTAACCGTGTAAAGATTTTAGATTGATGCATTGTGGTGTCGATTTCGTTAAGCTTAGCGCGAGACTACGTGCAAGATGAAGTTTGACCTTTCTGTGTGAAGTGCCGAGTGACTAGGATCTGTATGTGAGATCAACATCGAGTTGACCATTGTTCTCTTTCAATGGATTCCTTTGCTGCGATGTTGGGTCCATACTTCAAATCCTGCGAGGGCTGCAACTACGGCAACAAACTAATAGATTTGCCATTCCAAAGTCCGAATGTCGTCGAGTTTTCCTCTTCCTTCGCTACTCGTTCCGTTTGTTCTAAGAACCTTTTTTATTGCATATTAAATCCCTATATTGTTAGTGAGATTAGGTAAGATTTGGTGTTTATTAATTATTTTTGCAAAAGCGTTTTTTACTTTCGGTTATTTTAAAGAGTCGCTCACCCTAGAGCAACTCTCGCCAAAAATAGAGTGTGGGTAATAAGAAGACGTCCTACTGGGTGGTCCGGCCAGTGAAGGAGTATAAATTTAACGTCTCTTTCAGCAGAGTCTCTTTTTGTGTTCAAGTTTTTGATTTTTTCTATCAGGTGTTTTTGTCTTTTTTGTCTTTGGTTGTGTCTTTCTATCAAAAACAGATTGTTTTTTTTTTGTTTTTTTTTGCTATTTTATTGTTTCAAGTGGTTTTATTAAAACCCGACACTGGGTTTCAAAAAAATAAATTATCCGGTTTTAATCTGGGTTTAATGTGGTCTGAGTACCGTGGGACTTTCTGGTACATGCGGTTGGTTTAGTGGTGTTAGTAAGCTGCGTTGGATAGTTTAAGCCTACTTATTATTCCTTGCAACCGGGTTAGAGGAAAAATTTGAAACGCGTGAAAACAAGTTAGAATTGTTATCAGTTAGGTTTTGAAACTTGAAATTCATTTATTAAACAATTCAACTTGGGCAAGTTGTGCGAGATTGGTGAGTTGTGGGCAAGAAAAAAATTATTTAAAATTTACAAAAAAATCTCATGAAAAGATTTGTTTTCCTTGTAATTTATGTTCAATTTATTAACTTACTGGTTTGAATTGTTTAAATCAACTGCAAACTTATTAAATTATTGCATTTGTGATAAAATGTACTGGGTTGATTAGTTACTTTTCATTATTAAATAGAAATTCTTAAAGCTAGAAGAAGAGTTAATGATTTTTTTGTTTTGTTTATATTCGTTTAGATGAGTGATTGACGAAATCTAAAAAAAAATGAGAAAAACGTGTACGAATGGTAAGTGTCTTATTTTGTTAGTTAGTTTAAACATTTATAATCATACTTAAGAGGAGGGCTCTGCATCAGGGAAAAATTCATGGTGGAATTTAGTTTTAATCGTGTCTGATGTTACGAGAAGTTTTACAAGCATGCTGATTATGTTTTTAGTACAAAGCATAGGCCAGAGGGGTTTCAGCACTTTGATGATGTTAATTTCTTCGTGTGTGGTGAGAATTCATGTTTTGTGTTTTGAATTAAGGAATATAATTTATGGTTGAATTTAGTGTTGTGATTTTTTAATAGGGTGATTTCAATGGGCTGTTTTTATCCGTGGAGGACAATTAGTGGGCGAGCGTCATCAATGTGGAATGTGTTGGTTACTGGGAAGAATATATACATCTGTCTGGTGGGATCACAATTACGAAGGATGCCGTGGATATCAGTCGATTTAATACAATAAGTGAAGTTTAAGAAATATGGTGAAGTACACTTGCAATTATTGAACATAAAACGGTGCTGTGGTTTACGTGTTGGTGAGTTAAGTAAATAAAGATGTGGTTTAATTTTGTTATATTGAAACGTGTGGGTTAGTTTGGTCCTTAACATAATCTCATGCGAGCAGTGAAGGTCGCGTTCCTTACGGGTAAAGAAATGAATTTTAATTGAAAAATGATTAAATTTGTTAAATTATGATTCGTATGCTTTGATGTTCGTTAGTGCGCAAGAAAAAAACTTATCGAGCTTTTTGTTAGTACTGGCTAAGTGGAATATATATTCAGATCAAATGAAAAAAAAATGTTGTTAGTTTAGGGTTAGTATTGGGCTCGTCCTCGTTTGGGGTGTCTTCCGTTATGTGTCGTAGTGATTGATTGAAAATTGGTTAGCGCGTTGTGCTATGAGTCCATTGAAAGTTTGCTTCAAGTCCATGATGGTGAAATGAGTTTCGTGAAGTGCAGTGGTTAGTTTATGAACAAGGGAGTGACATAGTTCATTGTCTTCGGGGGTGTTTTACAAGGGAAGGCTTGATCGATTAGTGAAATGATAGAAGATAGTCCAAGAGAGTGTAGGAAACAGGAGATTTTTGTCAACGTATAAATTTTCTTGAATGTCGTTAGTATTCGCATAGTTTGTATATTGAGTTGAAACTGGTAAGTTATGAAATAAAATTTCTTTAGTGCTAGTATGTTATTGATGATGGGAATATAGTCGGGATGATTGTAGACGGCTAATGAGAAATTGAGGTGTAGTGTTAGGGTGCTTGCGTTTCATGAAAATTCTTTGTGCTCGTGTAGGTGCAATGTCAACTGAAGGGGTAGAGGATTCGGATGTTGAGGCTGAGTGTGTTAATTGGTGAAATGTTAATGCATTATTTGTGTCAGGAAGATGTTGCTATTGTGTTATAAAATTATCTAATTCATGCTCTAGTTGGTTATCAGTCATGGGGCTAGGTGCATCGGGTTGGTTACTTGACATTGGGGAAAGAATAGGGGTAGGAAAGAAGAGGTGAGGGAGATGTTTCATGGTGAAACTGAAACAATGGGTTGGAAAGGTGGTTGCGAAAAATTAGTTGGGCTTGGTTCTGAGTCAAGGAATTTGTCGGGGGTTTCTACATCTGAGTTATTAAAATTAGAGATGGAGTTAGGAGAAACACTGGGTAGGGGAGAAGAGGTGTGGTCTGAGAGCGAAAAGCGGGAGGATTGGCGGTGGAGCTTGGATGGATAGGAAAGGCAACGGCTGAGGGATCCAATCTGTCGGCCCATCGTGTGCTAAAAAGATGGTTGTTTTGGAACAAAATTTTATGTGTTGTCAATAATCGATTCATGGAGTGTTATATGAGGTAGTAGATTTTGTGGGAAATTACTACCTTGAGAGGTATTTTCAATAGTTACGAGCGTATTCCTATAATTTAGTGGGACTAAAGATAAAGTGTGACTGTTATGTAAGCTGTGTAGATGTGGTAGTGCTGTAATTGTTGAAATTGATTTGTCTTGTGGAGTGTCATATGTGTTTGGTTTTAAAGATAGCTTTTTGTTATATTCGCTAATCTGAGCATCAACGAGAATTTTATTAATTGAGATGGAAAATAATCCAAAAAATCCTGCAAATAAAATGCGTGCTACACTTGCATGTCTTTTGACTTGCGTATGTATTGCACATGTGTTATAGATTCATTTTAGAATTAGAAAGAGGAATTCAAGAAAATTAATTTTTGCGTATAATACAGTCAATCTTTTTAATATATGATGGGGCCATCCTAGAAGCGCTTGGTGTTCGTTTTTGATATTGACAAAACTAAAATTATTAATTGGTGAAATATCTTGTGAACGGTATTTTTTACCGTTAAGATATACATATAGTCTTTAATATCTTTAAAGTATCCGCTATAGTCTTGCTAATAAATATTAGATTAGCCTGCTGTTTCAGCTATTTTTCGTATATTTTGGTCAATTGACTGTCTTTTTATTGTACATATTTTAGTGAGAAGTTCTTGAATTACTGTGTTCTAATGGGATGTTGTATGTCTGATCGAGAATAAATATCTATTGATTGTAAATCTATTTTAGGGTTACAATCTATTGCGCTTATGCTTTTGGGTGAGAATTTTTTTGTTGGGGGCATTAATGTAGGGTATGGGGTAAAAAAAAAATAATTATTTTCGTTTGGGTTTAGCTGTTCTACATTATGGCTTTTTTCAAATCCACATGGGACATCAGCTGTATCCCAAAAATAAGCCCGTCGTGAGTGTGTATCTACAAAAATCACTTTATTTCTTATAGAATATAGGGATTCGTTTGTAACATATTTTGTCTTCAAAAACGTAAGGTGGTGAAATTTTTTAGTGCATGTGTAATACCAAAGGATACTTACTTTATAATCAAGGAAATCAGATCTATTTCTTGATAATAGGTATACTGCGTAGGGTATTTTTAATACTGCTAAAGCGAGTGATTGTTGTATTTGGGTCCATTCGATTTCACATAAAAGATGGTGTGTTTCTATTCGTAGAGTGACATTTCATGAAAAATTCTACTTTTTGTATAGTCTAGCTTTTATCAAGTTTTCAGCCCGGAACTCCTGTGCTTTTATAAAAAGTTCCCAGGATGTAAGTTTTTCGTTTTTACGGTTTCGAGACGTTTTTGCTGGGTCAAAAAATTGTTTTCTAGTTTTCTTGTCGAAACGTTTTCGTTTTCGAGAAATATTTCTTCTGAATTTTGTGTTTTGAAAATTGGTTTGGTGTGTGGTTTTAAAGTGTTTTGAAAAATGGTGAATTTGAAAACGTGTTGACTTGTTTTCAATGCCGTCAAAAATTTTATGTTTCTGTCCATTTGATCTGATTTGATCAGGGTTCATTTTTTCAAAAGAGGTTGATTCAATGAAATATATCTGCTGAAATTTTATCATTCTTGCGTGAATTTTAGCAAATTGAAACGTGATACATCTGTCCTCAGGGAACTAAACGATGATTGCCTGTGTCCGAGTGGTAGGATCGCAATATCATTGATCGATATTACAAGGTAAGCGTATGCCTTGATAGAGTATAGTATCGGCTTTTAGTTGCTGTATTTTTTGTAATTGAATTTTCTAATCAAAAAAACACAATTTCTTGGTAGCCTTCCTTTTTTGTTTTGGCTTCCCAATTCGAATGAATAATAACGAGTGGTATCCAGTTTTATGGTGTAAATCGTAGGTTATACGTCCGTGCGCGCCTTGAATGGATATTTATTGTTTATTTGAATATCACCTTGGTTAGACTTGAAAATTTACCATTTTATGATTTGTGCCTTTATTTGTAGTTATTTTTACTCGTTGCAGTTCGTTTTTGCAATCTTCAAGGTTAAGATTCAAAAGTCGTTCATAAATAATTTGGTAAAAGGACTCGTGATCGAGTCTATTTTTATTTCCAATCGACACTTGTGAACAATGTGTGTTCATTTCTGAGAATTTTGCTGTAAACTTGTATTCTGTTAGAGTTGTAGCTGGTGTTTTGAGTAAATTGTTGTTACTATATTTGTTGATTCTATGTCTTGTGGTTCGGATTCACATTGTGTTACTTGTTTTGTTTCATATTTATGTAGTGTTTTTTGTTGGTCTTTTTCCTAATCATAATGTGTAACAAGGAGGTCTTGTGGTCTTGTTCGAGGGGAAGAATTTTGATATGGGGTCTGAAAATACAAGGAATGAAAGTGTTTTGAAAAAGAAAACTATTAAAAGATGCATTTGTATGATATCCCTGAAAAAGGATTGTAGCCTATAGACTATTGTCTTTTTTGTATTTCTATCGTGTTTATAGATAAGTTCTGTTGTAAAAAAATGGAGGTGGCAATGATTGAGTTGTTTTACTTGGCGGAGATGATGGTAGTGGACGATGAACTAGATTATTTAGTTTTACTGTTATTCCGTATTTAAGGGCTAAAGTGTCTTGAGTAAGGATTTGTATATTATGTTCCTTTACATCTTTGTGGCTGTCGTGTCTGTATGTTAATCAGTTTAGTGCCCAATTATGAAATCAATTGTTATCACGGTGTTGGCCAAAAAGGTGAGGGGTGTTACAAATGTATTCCAATCTAGTCGTAAAGGTATACTAGTACTTAGAAGTTCACAATATTGATCGTCTTAATTATGAGGGAAACTTAGAGGAAACGTAAACGTTTGGTTAGTAAACGTAGTGGTTGGTGTTTGACCTGTTACTGAAGTTGTTGATGAAACTGATAGAGTTTCTGGAAATGATAAAGAGGTGTCTGATAAGATATCTATGGTTTCATTAACTAGATTTAGTTCACCTATGTCATCCAATGTGGAAGGCGTTGTGATGAGGTGGGGAGATTAAAAAGATTTTCACGAGTTTTTTATG